TAGCTAACTCTTTTGGATCCAATCTTGCTTTGAAAGCTTTGAAGCTGAATCAGCTTTGAAAGCCTACACGTCCCAAACGGAGTGTATAGCTCAGAGCATCAGCAGGCAGCTCGCATACACTTCGACGTTCGCCGCTCTCATCGCAAAGAGACTATGCGAAAAAAGTTGCTCTCGCTGGTGTGGCCGTATTCTTTTCAGGAGTGTTTAGAGTTGCGTGATAGTAGATGTAAAAGCATTATTTGCCAGCTGCACTTTGTAAAACATTAAAACTTTTTGCTATCGCATTTGTTGCTGACCTCTTGCGGTGCAACTGTGATGTCTTTAGCCATCTACAGTCGCCCATTTCTTTACCCCGAACCCGCCAGCGTCAACCACCGAGTACATAAACGCCGTAAAATAGAGCACAGCGGCGAAATGAACGAGAACAAGCATGTGAGCTTGATGAGCAGTCCTGTGCATCTGTCTTTACTGGGATATTCCGGTAGTCGGACATCACCCCCGCTTCTTTTGAACATTGCTGCAGTCATCCTTTTTTTCTAAAAACTTCCATCACAATAAAAAAAAAAATGTGTTTCACCGCATGAGTGAAGCAATGAATGTGATAGCAACAAGTTATGTTACACGAAGTAAGGCTGGCAGCTAACTGTTTTGGATCTCATATCAAGTTATAGCTCTACAAATACCTGGAGAAATGCACTTACAGCACAGCCTCTTTCCATTGAGAGTACAGTTCGTAGATGAGCTCACAAGCTATTGGTGCTGATGCCTACCAAGATAGCGCATGAGCCAGCCATCGTGACCTTACAGTAGAGTTCACAGCTGCTGAACAGGCGATCACAAGCATAATGCAACTACAACAGTGTTTCGGGCAAAAGGCACCTTGCGGCTAAATTCGGGTGCTGCGACACGGTATGGCGCTGACCAACGAGATTAGTGCAGCAGAGGTGGTTCGGTGCAGAATGTCGCAGGTAATCAAGTTTGGCGTATAAAGGCACTGAGATAACCAAAAGTGTAGAGGTAGCATGCCAACAGACAGAGCTACATGTAGCTCCACACAGCTTCAAAAATGCAAAGCACACTTCCGTTGCTTAAAACAAAAACTTCAGCGCTACTAATTGAAGCTTGCAAGGGTGATGGCACAAAAGAGGATGCACCAAAACATAGCACAAACCTTGTGCACGTTGTCAAAATGTGCAAAGTTAATTTTCAATGAATGCATCATGAGCATGAAAAGATCATTCTTTGTGTAATGTGTTTATGCCCCTGCACAGAACTCAGCCGGTGAATTTTCGCATTTGATTAGTCATCTAAGGCTTTCGCCTTAACAGTAAATATTATAAAGGAAGGGTAAAACACAGCATAATTAAACTTGTGAGGGTGCTATCGATTCCTGTAAAGTCGTCTGTGCCTCGTGGCACACATGAGCCACGGGATAGGCCACATTTCGGTATAATAACCACCAAAGGTTGCTGGCGCAGTGCTTGCGCGAGTTCACTATCATCATCATTATGCTTAGCGCGCGGTAGCCCTAGAAGTGCTGCAGCAGTGAGGCTTGGTGGGCATGAAAAAAACAAGTGCCTTTTTTTTTTCACATGGCGGAAGCCACGAACAGACATCTCCTGCGATGGGTCCATGGGAACGGCGTCGTGGATGGTCCCCCATGGACCCCTCGTGGTTAGTCAAACATCAGCGACGCTGACTTTGCATTACCTTGTTTTCGTTCTTATGCTGATTGAGTGAATTGAATTATTGTATAAGTAGTTTGTTTTAGTGTGTCACTTGTGAAATATTTCATGCACCTGGGGATACCATCGTTTGTAGAAGTAGTTTAATAAAAGTACATGATATTTTGTTAAGTTCAACCACACCTGATGTGTCTGTGTGTTTCAAGAGCGGCACTCTTCTTTAAAGAGCCCACAAACTACACAGAAGAGAAAAGAAGAGGGAAACTACATTGCATGAGCAACCGAACTTTAAACCCACTACGGTGCCGTTGTGATAATTCAATGCAAAACAAAACTCAAAAACCAGATAAAAGCTGTATGGTGTATTCCTTGGTCCTCATAAATTACTGAACTGAAAGCACTAATTTGTTCGAACTGGCTGTCGGTTTGATAAATACAATGGTTTATTGAAATAACTTCATATATAAACACCAAATGTACATACTGGTCACGAGATCGAGTGAAGTCGCCGCCTGGCAGCAACAGGCTAAAGCGCGCAAGTGTGGATTGCTCTGTGCTTCCCCTGCTAGGCACGTAGTGTAATTATGTGCGCATACGTGTTGCACATTCTCAAAGGGTGGTTTGTCAAATCATGTAAGTGCAAGTGCAACTGCTTGTACATATACCTGAAATAACGTACGAAAGAATTTCGACTTGCTAGGCTATTGACGCATTGCAATGAGATCAGCGAGTGCAACTTCTCAGAGTGCTGTTTATTGTCGACTAGAATAATTTCAGCGTGGGTGCTGCTTCATGCTCTAGGCATCCTCCAAAACATAAGGTCTGTCAAATAGTGTGTGAATGCATTGTCTTAGTGGCTCGATAGTAAACAAAAACGAGGTTCTAGGCCACGCACTTGCGTGCTGTGGGTAGGTGCATAACTACAGCACTCTAGTTAATCGATTATGTGAGGAGCCTTAGTTGTGTTTATATGGTCATGGTACCACTACATAAAAATATTACTATCACATAAACTATGACAGTTCCATACTTAAACTGTACCTAAAACAGAGTTGCTCTGTGCAATCATGTGCTTAGATTTAGGAACACTTTAAAGAGCCCAGATGTTCGAAATTATTTCAGTTCGCATGTCTTACATTTATTTGGTATGTTTTCACTGAACATTTAATTTTTTTTAGATTGTCCCGAGCATTTGTGTGGCATTGTTAATGACCAACAAAAGGCAGCGGCAATTTTTTGTTTGAAAAAAAAAAAAAAAGCATGCTTGTTCCATAAAATAACCAGACCTTTGTTATAGCACTGTCATACACGTAATCCATTGATGAAAGCTTTCTGCTGAACTCTTACAAGGTTTTAATATCTACTTGTATAAGAATATGAGCGTATACGTGGTAAACGCAACATAGCTCAAAACGCTGTCAGATACTAAGCTTTCCTGACTACACTTACCGACTGTACCAGATTTCATGGTGAACAAAATGGTAAAAAAAAAAAGCATATGCGTATAAGTGCGAATGGTCGTACTGAACTCAACTGACAGATATGCGGGCTCCTATGATGTTTCTGTCTCTTTTTTTGTCATGTGCAGACGACAAAGAAGTAAATAAATAGTTCAGTCGCGCAGTGCGTATATAGCAGGTAGAACACAAGCTAAGCACGTACAAACAAAAACAGCAAAAGCGTTATTTAGTGCGAATTGAGCGCGGACAGTCACTCAGGGGAATCCTCCCTTTGAAAGGCAGAATGCGCTTTACTCGCTGGTAATGGTAACATTGCATAGGCTTCGTGCATCGATTCGGTAGAGAGGAGAGCAGATATCACCAGTGAACTGTGGTCAACGCATTTTACTCGAGAAGTACTCTGCTTTGGGCTTTTCCAGCATTTTCCAGGACAAAGCAAGCAAGACCATGGGTGTGACCAAGCACCGTGATAAATTGGTCGAGTGAGGCAAAAAGGTAATATATGATATGCCATTATCTTGTGGAAAATGCTATGCTGGGTCTATGTGCTGCTGTTTGAACAATATATTAGCAGATCATAAGGCTCCATTGAGAGGGACACCTTGTGCTAAACCTTCTTTACATTGAAGGAAGTACAGCTGTGCAAGCTTGCTATTAGAAACTAAGGTGCTCTCAAGATTAAAAGGAAAGGTTGCATGAAAAATTGAGTAAACATACTTTATTGATAGATCGGGCAAGACATGCGTAGCGAGGCCCTCTATCAAGTTGCATGTCACTGAGTTGGATTATTTGAGAGCCTCCCATTAATATAATTTTTATTTTTTGCTAATGTGACTCGTAACTGTGAGTTTGTTCATATATATAAGTGTATGCCTTTCGAATGAATTCAGTTTGTACTTGTCTGCCTCTAGTCTTTATTTTGCACTAATAGCTACCGTAAAAACTTTATCTGCCTGTTTGTCGTCACATAGCACGTGAAGTCGCACAATATCGGAACAAGTTGTAGCGTTTTCATTGCAGCATTCCCCTGAGTTGTGGTCACCTAATCAACCCGCTAATGCTCGAATGAGAGAAAAATATTTGGACAAGCGCAACCAAACGGGAGGATTGCAAGCACTGTGGCTGTACCCATGATTTCAGCACACAGAGTTCCTCAACAAAGGGAAAGTGGAGCGCCAAAATGTGGAAGGTCTTTTCATGCATGAAGCAGAAGAAACAGGCTTTCCATTGACGCAGAATTTGAGTAACGGTTTTACTTAATGCATCGTTTTTCCCTCTCGTGGCTTTTACTTTTCACACCACGTTTATTACGCAAGACACCCATCAGTTGTTACGTTTTCATTATTGCTTGCGCATTCCAGCATATATGCTCGTTGTCAATTCCTCTGATTGCTAAACAAATTCTTAAATGAATGTTTTTACCGCCGTTAGTCAAGTGTCTCGGGACTGTGCCCTGGCCCCACTCGGACTATAAACAAAGAAAAAGCGCCCTTCATAAATTGTTCGCGCACCGGACTTGCATTGGGGCTTTGTCGTCACTGTCTCTGTAACATAGCACCCAAGACATCAGGCGACGAACCAACAGAGGACCTGTAATGCAATTTGTGGCAAAGAATGGTAATGAACGCGATCTTAAAAAAGCCCACTCGAGATCGTAAGATTTGACAGCTCGAGAACATACGCATCAACTCAAACGCAGTAACCACAGCTATTCACCGGCTCAAAATCATGTGCCTGCTACAATAAATCTACGACATATTTCACCCGAATGAAAGGCAGAAAACGAGGAGAACCCTCTCGGTGGTTCGGAATCAAGCAAGATGTGCTTCACATATGACGCGTATAAAGGGCTTACCAAAGACCCGGCCACAATCGACGCTATCGCATTCCTCTTTTCGCCAAGTTCCATCCATTCCGGGCGATTGAACTGAATATTGTCAAAGCACCCAGCCATTTTCACGCGACTAATGACCGCCGAAGAGGCAGGACGCTCCTTCAACTACGGACAGTTGAACCACAGACCACCTACCAGTTGTTGTACTGGTTGTATCATAGCCTCCTAGATTTCTCTGCCTGCCGGATTATCGGTGGTCTCTTGAGGAGCAGCCGTCGTCGGAACTATGGTGATGGCGTTACTTAAGCAGGGGGTGTTTTCAAATAAGTTCTTACGTTTTTGAAGCTTATATGCAACAAAAATAACGTAAAAAGTTTTAAAAGGCGCAAACGTAATTTTAATTAACCCTACGTAAGTACCGCCGTCATAACTGTCCCGCGTTTTGCGTTCATTTACCAGGCAACCCTTTTGTTACAAGACATAGCCTTCGAAATTCGCAAAAGCCAAAATTGCCTATCTGAAAGTGAAGTACAAAGACCCTTATTCCTACGTAGGTAGCGCCGTCATAAAAAGACGGGCGTTTCGCGCTTGTTCGGCAGGCAAGAAAAGAAATCTAGGAGGCTATGATTGTTGCCTGCTGGATGAGTGCAAACGTCCATCATGTACGTCAGCGCTATCTACGAAAGATAAAGGTCCTAATACTTGGCCTTTGAGATTGGCAACTTTGTCGTTTGATAATTTTAGAAGATATGCTTTGTATTGAAGAAGTTGCCTGCTAAATGAGCTTGAAACGCCTGTCATCTATGACAGCGTGCATTACGTTGGGTTTGGGTTTTTGTACTTGGCCTTTAAGATAGGCAACTGCGTTGCTTGTTGTTCTCGGAGGCTATGCCTTGTATTAAAGGGAAGCGATAACCTTGCTTAAAATGTATTGATGGGCTAGTTGGTGAGCCATAGTGTATTATGAAGCAGCGCACAAAAATACACAAAGACACACACGAAAGTAGACGCAAACACAATAATCACCACCAGGCGTGCCATGGTGTTCAGCCATAGAGTATATGGTGTTCAGCCGTACTGTGTAAACTACCTTTAGCTACTTAAAGGTGGCATCAGCCGCAGCAGACGACTGAAGTAGCAGACGATTTTTTTTATTTCTCTGAAAACCGCAGAAGCGACGAAACGACGTTGTGAATGTTTTACTGTTTTTCCTGAATTTCTCCACAGTTGGGACACCGAGAAGGCAAAGTTTATGTTCACGCTTTAGTTCACGCTGGAGCACTGAAATCAAATAAATATTTGCGATTGTAGAGAACTAAATATGATTTAATAGTGCAGTGAACTAGCTTCGCTACGACTGTGTCACCGTTGCGCTTACTTTTTATGTTGTAGAAAGTTTAATTCGTGAGTTGAAATAGTACTTCCTGCACGCAGTGCATTTAATTACATTCGATAGAAGTTCATGATTGCATATATGTCAATGTTAGAAGCATTATTATTAGAGCCAACGTTACTAGAATAAACTCAGATTGAAAGATCTGACGGAGAAGCGGGTCGCGAGAACTAGTGGCACTGCAGTACGATCTTACTTTAAATGGAGCGACCTCAGTCTTGCTCTAGCGACACGGGCCGCGCGTGTTGTGAACTTGTGATTAGCGGTGGCGACGTGCAAGGGGCTACTGCGAATGATGCGCTGTATTCCCACCTAACTTCTCTGATTGTTTTGGCACTGCGTATAATTTTTGTACAAAAACCCGTTTGTCATGTATGAGGCGTAGCGATGAGGAGCAGATTTATCTACATTAAAGTACGCGGACTGGTTTTGCGCCACGCTACGACAGGGGCGACCGCAATGACGAAACTTGTTCATTCGTGTTTGTTTATTCATTAATTTATTTTCTGTGTAAACACTGTTACACAGTGGTGTGGAGCAACACAAAAGCTCATATCAACAGCTTGAAAACTTTATATATGTAACCTTCACTCTTTCGCCCAGCGGTGACTGGGTAGCAGACCACGGCTGCCTGGATCAGGCGCGCGGCGGCGTTTCTCCGGCCGTTCCAATCGACGCGCGCCCCATTGAAAAAATGTAATTGGAGAAGTTCCGCCGCGCGCCACTACGCCGCGCTCTACTCCTACTCCCCTTCATCAGCAGTCATGATTTTCATGAAAATCAGCAGTCATGATTTTCAATGACAACGAAGGTAGTGAGCTTAGAATACAGGTGGTCATGCTAGAGATAACAGATAAATACAAATATCTGGGCGTATGGACAAGCAATGGGACCGAGTATCTGAGGGAACACGAAATATACGGGACGACTAAAGGTAACAGGACTGCAGCAGTCATGAAAAATAGGGCACTGTGGAATTACAATAGGTATGATGTTGTGAGAGGAATATGGAAAGGGGTCATGGTTCCTGGGCTGATGTTCGGCAATGCTGTCTTGTGCATGAGATCAGAAGTTCAAGGAAGATTAGAAATTAAGCAACGTGGAATAGGTAGGCTTGCTTTAGGAGCTCACGGGAAAACACCAAATCAGGGAGTACAAGGTGATATGGGGTGGACAACATTTGAGAGCAGGGAAGCTAGCAGCGAGATAAAATTTGAGAAGCGATTGAGAGAAATGGGGGAAGAGCGTTGGGCTAGGAAGGTTTTCAGCTACTTGTACATGAAGAATGTCGATACAAAATGGAGGAAGCGAACCAGGAAGTTGACTGGTAAATACTTAGAAAACAGCAGGTGGCCAAACCAAAAAGAACTATCGGTTAAGAAGAAAGTGAAGGAAACGGAGACTGACATGTGGAGAATGGGCATGATTAAGAAGTCCGCACTAGAGATCTATCGAACATTTAAGGAGGAAATTGCCAAGGAAAGGATCTATGATAATACTCGGGGTAGTTCTCTACCGTTTGAGGCTAGGACGGGAGTACTGCGAACCAAGACATATCGGGCCAAATACGAAGGGGTAGACACAGTATGCAGTGCGTGTGGAGAGGAAGAAGAAACTGCCGAACACTTGATAATGTTCTGTAAAGGGCTTCACCCTTTAGTTCAGGATGATGGCGCAGAGTTTTTCAAAGCACTGGGGTTTAGGGACCGGGAGGGCAAGATAGACTTTAAGCAAGTAGACTTAACTAGAAGGAGGTTATCTGATTGGTGGCTAAAGTCAAGGCACGAGTGAAAATTGAACTCTTCACTGCAAAGTACGAATCCTCAAACTCACTTTTTAAGGAAAAAAATAAATATAGTTTTAAGTTCATTAAGTATTACGGCTTGGTGGCGCTAGCCACCGCCCGATCTAAAGGGTACAGCCATATCCATCCATCCATCCATCCATCCATCCATCCATCCATCCATCCATCCATCCATCCATCCATCCATCCATCCATCCATCCATCCATCCATCCATCCATTCATCCGATGAAAAGATGCAAGATGTTATAAACTAGACGGCGGTACTTGTAGTTGATGATGAAAGATGCGAGATGTTGTAAAATAGGAATGATGTCACATATGGCACGTGTCATTGGTGGAAGGCAATCGTTCGATTTAGTGCGGCGACGTACGCTAGGGGGAGCATTGTAATAAAATCGAATAGGCAAAATGTACGGAAGATCCATGGTTTACCAGGTTTTCCTCCAGAGCTTCGCCCACTCATCATCATTCACTTCGTGGATATGGCAGCACTTTTTGTTCAACCATCTTGCTCTCATGACTTTATCCTGGGTCGGGATTTCTTATCACGTCATGAAGCTATCATAGATTGTTCTCGTGCCGAAGTGTCCCTTGTGCCAACGTGTGAATTTCATTACCCGACCGCTCTCCTCTGCTCTGCAAACTCATCGCTGACGACGACATCACCTTGCCTCCGGAAGCTTCGGTCCCTAACAGCCTTTTATGTGTGGCGCAACCTGACGGCATGGCGGTGTTTACGCCATCTCCGGTTTTTACTGAACGTAAGGGCATCGTTCTCCCATTTGCCGTTCTTACAATTGCGTCTGGTTTAACCCTAATGCTGGTTACCAACCAATGCAACTACCCCATTGGCTTACTTCGTGGTGAACCATTAGGATATGTGCAACCTGTCGACCATATCGATGATAATATTCTTCCCGACGAAACACCATGTCACATTGCTGCAATCACTCATGAGTCTGAGCCATCAAGTTCGTCAGCCTTCGACAATGATATTGACGCAGACCTTCCCCTCTCGCATCGCCGCCGACTTGTTGCTCTCCTTAACAAGTTTCGTTCTTCTTTCGACTTTCAAGAACCTGCTTTGGGCCACACCACGACTATCACTCATACTACTGACACCGGCTCACATTCGCCTCTGCGACAGCGTCCTTACCGCGTTTCTGCCGAAGAGCGCCGCGTCATTACGGAGCAAGTAGATGACATGCTTAAACGTGGAGTCATACAGCCTTCTCAAAGCGCTTGGTCATCACCTGTGGTTCTGGTAAAGAAAAAAAGATGGCACCGTACGGTTTTGTGTGGACTACCGCCGCTTAAACAAAATTACAAAGAAAGATATCTACCCCCTACCACGAATAGACGATGCTCTTGACTGTTTACAAGGCGCCGAGTGCTTTACATCCTTAGATCTGCGTTCTGGGTATTGGCAGGTGCTAATGGCTGAATGTGATCGCCCTAAAACAGCCTTTTTAACGCCGGATGGCCTATATGAGTGGAAAGTCATGCCATTTGGGCTCTGCAACGCGCCTGCCACATTTTAACGCATGATTGACACCATCTTGCGTGCCCACAAGTGGAAAACTTGCTTGTGTTACCTGGACGACATCGCAGTATTTTCTTCTGATTTCCCGGCACATCTTGTTCGCCTCCACGAGATTCTGACGTGTCTAACTTCTGCAAGCCTACAACTTAACACCAAGAAGTGTCACTTCGCAGCACGAAAACTAACCATCTTGGGACATGTCATCACAAGAGACGGTGTTCTTCCGGATCCCGATAAGCTTCGAGCTGTCGCCGACTTCCCGTTGCCCACATCACTGAAAGCCCTAAGAAGTTTCGTCGGTCTCTGCTCCTACTTTCGTCGCTTCGTGCGCAACTTCGCGTCCATCATCGCACCTCTCACGAGTCTGCTTTCCAGCGTTAATAATAATAATAATAATAATAATAATAATAATAATAATAATAATAATAATAATAATAATAATAATAATAATAATAATAATAATAATAAATA